ATCCGTGTAAGCATTTCTGGAACTTTATTGAACAGCTTTTATTGCACGTACTTAATGAAGCCTCCACCATTCCCCCACCCACCGTTTCCATAATTACTTTAATTACCATTTAAAGTTAACCTTTCATTCTTTATTTTTTYATWATTTTYCCCCCCTTCTTTTTATTTCGAAATAAAATTCTGGGGGAAAKGACGGGAGCCCCGAATTCGTACCATGCGGCGCTCGGGGAGCAAGCCTTGGGTGCTCTGCAAGCAAACTCGGACTCTGCACGGGGGGAAAAAAGGGTCGGGATGGAGGATTGGGGAGCTCCGAGGGTCCCGAATCGAGGGCTGGAGCTGCTCCCGGAGCTCTGCCGTTCCTCGATCCCGACGGAGCCGCTCCGCGCTCAGCTCAAGGTTTTTTCTTGGCTTCCTTCTCATCCTTCTCGTCTTTCTCGTCCTTCTCGTCCTTCTCGTCCTCGCCGCCTTCCTCAGCGCCTTCCTGGGATTCCTCCCCTTCTTCCGCCGCTGTTTCGTCGCCTTCTCCTTCCTCCTCCTCGCCCTCTTTGGTTTCTTCGGATTCCTCCTTGGCCCCTTTGGAGGACAGAAAGGATTTTCATATCCTGGCATTATTCCCCATCCCAATTTCACGGGATCAACCCTTCCACCCCGCGCATTTTGGCAGCAAAACCTCGCCCCCGGCTTCTCCTGGACCACAGAGAGAAACACTTGACAAAATCAAATAATTTCCCTTTAAAAAATCACAAATCACAAAGCCTTGAAAAGAAGAAATGAAATAATAATTTTCTGAAAAATATCAATTCTGGCCTCGCTGCTTAAAGCCTTCTCCAAAGAGTCAAAGGACTTTTTGCTGGTTTCTGATTGGCTCTCTGTGATTGGGTTATAATTAAAATTTTGCGCTAACGAGCCCCTCACGGCTCAGTGGCACTGCAGGGATGAGCTGTTCCCACCCACCGATCCCGGTAATTCCAACCCCAACCCTCAGCTGATGTTCCCGTTATCCTGGGCCGCTTTGGGGAATTCAGATTTAGCTCAGGATGTCCTTGCTCCTTTTTTTTAGAGGCTGTCCCTAATTAATAACTCAGCGCTGCTCTCTGAAACCTGAACATTATCATTTTTTTGGAAACCTACATTCTGCCTGATTCCAACATTTAACCTTGTTTTCCATTTGATATTCACATTTTCCTGGTAAATTCCATGTTCTTAGTTTTCACCATTTTTTTCACCACCCATTTTTTCAACCTTTTGTTCATCATTTTTTTCACCACTTTTTTTTTTTGCCATTTTTTCAACCAGTTTTCACCATCTTTTTCACCATTTTTTCACATTTTTTTTCACCACATTTTTTTCCGTTTTTTCACCACTTTTTTTGCCATTTTTTCACCATTTTTTCACCACTTTTTTTTTGCCATTTCCTTCACCATTTTTTCACCATTTTTTTCACCACTTTTTTTTTCCATTTTTTTCACCATTGTTTTCACTATCTTTTCACCATTTTTCCACCATTTTTTTCACCATTTTCTGTCTCACGTGACTAGAAAACGAAACATTTTTTATTCATCAACCATCACTATTTCTGACCTTTATCCCTCATGAGCAGGGCCGAACATTTCCCCCAAAACACCCAAAAACCCACCATTTCCACCCAACTTTCCCTACCTTCCTCCTCTTCCTCAGCCTCTTCTCCCGCTTCCTCCTCCCCTTCCTCCTTCTCCTCCTCCTCCTCCTCTCCCTCCTCCGCCGGAGCCGCTTTGGCCTCCCCGGCCTTGGTGGCCTCGATGGTCTCCTCGATCTCGATCTGCTCCTCCTGCACGTGGCTCGAGTAGTAGGTGGGGAAGGAGCGGGCGGTCATCAGGTACGAGCTGGACTGCAGACCGCCGTACGCCGAGCGGCCGAAGGTGGACGCGGCCTGGCTGTAGCCGCTGGTGATGCTGCCCACGCTGGTGAAGCTCAGGCGGGTCTCCTCCCCTTCCAGAAGTTTCCTGGCGGGGAGAAAAAAAAATAAAAAAAAAACAACAAAAAAATTATTATCCGGCCGCGAACGACGATACCGTGGCGCTTTGAGCATCGTGAGCTTGGCAAACTGAATTATTATTTATCATTAT